AATAAGTTTATGTTTTTAGTTTTGGTTTTTGAACTTACTTCGGAAGCTTTATCAATACAATATTTTCTTGGCACAAAAGTTGATCGATATAATTAATACAATTTAGTTTTTATAAAGACTTCGGAATTACATTAGGTTTCCTTGTTTTTTAGTCTTTTTTTTGCCTCGTCCAAGCGCAGCAAAGGAAGAGGTTTGCTGAGGCTTTTTGTCGAACTGTTGGAGAGCAGACATCTCCAAGGCTTTCTTCGACAAGGGAGGTGCAGCTGCAAATTTTTGACACCTCCAAAGCATTTTCCAGAAGAAACAAAAACGAAGAAGCAAAAAGAGGCTCTCTACAAGGGGTCCACTGGGCCAAGACTCCTTAGAAAGTTGGAAGCAGACCCACCTGACTTCCTCCAAGTAAAGGTGGCTGACAAAGAGCTCCTGCTTGTAGTAAACCCAATCTCTAGGTTTATGGGCCTCGTAGTCTCTTTCCTGGAGCTATAGCCCCAAAAGGGAGGCCCTTGCTCAACCGTGAAAAATGCACAATGGTATATGAATATTTTCTTTCTTATTTTTTGACAAAAAAGGAATTTAGCAAAGTTTTGTAATAACCATAATGATCAAAATTGAGCAATCTGACTTCATACTTCTTAGTTGGCACACACACTGACCTATAAATAGAACAAATTTTTGTAACTTTTGTTTTTATGTGATATAAGAAAAAAGTTATATATATATTTTTTGGTGAAATAGGGGGGAAACTCCCAGAAAAACAACTAAACACCGCGTATGAGTCTAGGCCTAACAAGGCCAAGCAGTCATCTACCAACAGAGAGCTAACCCAGATAGGAGGCTCATCAAAGAAGCAAATTCCCATGTCAATATTATAACTCTAATTTGCCAAACAATTCGCAACACAATTCTTTTCCCTTTCTCAATAACAAGCTTTAGACCAAAATATAGACCCCAAACCTCAGCCTTCAGGATATGACCTTGACCCAAATTCACTGCAAAATCGGCAATCCAATCACCTGAGGAGTCCCAAATAACACCTCCTGCTCCAATAATATTAGTGGCAGCCCTTCTAGAACCATCCACATTCAGCTTAGAGCATCGCCAGCGCCATACCCAAACTGGGAGAAAGGCTGCCCTGGCGAGCCCAAGACACCTCTAGCGCAGTAGATGCAGCCTGGTTTCATGGTGGGTTCCACCAGCCCGGGCAGGCCCAAGGGCAAATTCAGCCCGAGCTGCTGCCAGGGCAAGCTGATGCAATGCTGACGTCATAATGACGTCAGCAACCCAAAAAAAAAATTTAAAAAAATAAAAAACCAAAAATTTCAGAATTTTTTTAAATAAATACCTAGGCATATTCTTTACTTCCCACACAAAAAACTATATACAAATTCATCTCCTCATATCTCATATGAATAGTATTTGCCTTAGACTTGCCCTAGACTTAGCTCTTATGGGTGGAACCACAAATGCAAAGGCTGACACTATTCACATGAATAGTGACAGCCTTTGCTTGCCCTTGCCTTAGACTTAGCCCTTGTGGGTGGAAGTGCTCTTAAGTTGGCCAATTATAGGAGGTTTCCAAGCAAAAAAAACATGTATTTTGTCAGGTTTCTCGCCAAAGTCATTAGCGACTTTAACCACTCAATAACTGTAGTAAAAATGGTTTTCCTATGATTAAAAGGCATATCCGCTTCAACATTAAAAATCTTCTTGTTACACCAATTTCAGATATACCAACATGTAATGGCAAAAATAACATTCCATCCAATACCATCAGGGCTCTTAACCTTAAATTGCCTAAGAACCAAGGTTTTAGTTAAGAGAGGAAGAAATAAGGAGGAAGAAATAAGGAGAAGAGTGTAAATTTAAAACAGAATTCCATACCATCATAGCCCTGGGATAGTCCCTAAGAATATGAATAACATATTCAGTTTTATATTTTAAGTATGTCCTTATTGTAAAAAAAAAAAAAAAAAAAATGTTATATGGGATCTGAAGTCGTTTGGTCATATAAACAATGAGAAAGAACACAGTTCATTAAACAAAACTGAAACGAAATTGTGGATAATCAAATGACTAAATAAATTTTATTTTATTTTATTGATATGAATAATCCTTAAAAGAGAACCTGGAATATGAATGATTTCAATCATTGGTGTATTGCATAGAAATAAGATGATCTTATATAAAGTCTTACTATATAAAGCATTATAAATAAAAATTAGACTATGCATCGATCAATCCAAAAGTGATGGCAATATTCCTCATCTCCTTTACAGTAAAAATTAGGGGTAGCTCCATCTCCATGGTAACTCCATGAACATATCCTAGTTGAGAATGAACCAAACAAACCTAACTTTCTTGTGGGATTAATTATCTTGACTTGTTGGTTTTCCTGTTCCTTTTCTACATTTCATATTTCTCACCAAGTGCACAAGACCAACTCTATTTTTTTTTTCTTTTGATGATGAGAACATAATATATATATATATATATATATATATAAATACCAAGTGACAGAAACATGTAGAACAACCCCATTTTTCTCCTTTTACGTTGAACTCTTCGGGCCTGCGTGCCCCATGAATCTATGTTCATGTAATTTCTTTTTCCTCATAAACCCACCCAACCCCCACCCAAATTTTCTCTAAATTTTGTCAACAAGTTGCAGAGGCTGGTGGATCCAAAGCAATTTGGATTGCAGTGCAAAGAATAAAATTGCCTACTCAAAATCACCGCTGTTATTTATATATGAACAAAATTAAGCATTCAGATCCAATTCGAAAGCTTTTCATGACCTCCAACCTGTCACATATTCATTATTCATGATTTATCACATGGACCCCCCGAATAGGGGTTGAACCCTAAAGTAGTATTAAATCATGTCCAATGCTGACAGAGAGCCACATCCCACCACGTAGTCGGCAAAGTGTTTGCCACGTGTCGTGCCCTCATTGGTACTAGGATACAGTAGAGGTACTTGGAATTTTTTGCGGGCTCCACTTTGGTGGGCCACCCCACCGCCCAAACTGAAAAACCTACCTAAAGGCTAAAAAGTCATCCGTCCATATATGACAGCTTGGAAGAGTTGGAGGAGGGAGGAGGAGGGAGGAGGGAGGAGGGAGGAGGGAGGAGGGTACCCTTTTTTCTCTAGGGCTCTTTGCCCTAACAAAGATCTGAAACTCATGAAAATCTGAATGAAAAGGCACGTAGGACTTTGTTAAACGGTAGGATTTTCAATCATGTTTGCAAATGTTTACAAAGCAAATCCCAAAGCCATGATCGCCTGCCAGCGTACGGAGTTTCAATTGCATGGATCACGGGGTAGATTTGTTCTTGGATTTTTAACTCGAAAGAATATTTTTATTGTCCAACTTGGTTTTTGAGTCAAATGACACAAAGAATGTCATGAATATTAGTGAAAACTTTAGCACATGGATGAATAGAGATCACATTTATAACCTCCATATACAATGAATGAAAATTTTACTTGTACACGGGAATGTTAACGTTAGTCATTCACGTGTGTGTAAAACTCTCGATATATCTTATTAGGGATCTTAGCATGTTAAGATTAGGGTTTAATTGAATGTTAGTTCGTTAAATAGTGGAGGCACCTAAATGTTGCAAGAGAAATTGAGCTGATTACGTATAGGAGCATCATGTATGACTGTGTTCCAAATCAGCCAAGGAGGCTAGGGAAAGTTGTTGGATCACAATTGGTTTTGAGAGTTCAAAATTTGTCGCCTTATAATTGGGGTCCACTAGCTAGCTTCGGGTCACACTTGGTGTAGAGGAGGCACAAGGTGATGGAACATATCAGGATGTGATCCACGTCAGAATTTTATTCAATTCTGAGAAGCAAATTGTGGCCATTGGTTGTTAGGGTCCCATAATATAACGCCGGCCTAACGTGTTGTATCTTTTAGTGACTTGGACGTTGATGTTACGCAATAAGTATGATTCTTTACAATTTGTCTACTTGTTAAATTTTAGGTTTTGGGAGGGAGGGAGGCATTCAATTGGGAGCTAGGTTCCCTCTAATTGCTTTGTGGGAAGAGATGGTAGGTTGCTTTGGTAATTCGAAGATTGATCCCTGATGTATATAGTTATGCTTGTTTAATCTTTTATTACTCTCGATATTGTCATGTTATAAAAAGAAAGTTGAGATTGCTTTGGTAGTTCGATGACTGATTCTTGGTGTATAGTTATGCTCGCCTAATCTTTTATTATCTTCGACACTGTCACTTTTAAATTTTAGAGAAAAGACTTAAGACTGATGCATAAAATAGTGTTAAAAAAAGAGGTAAATATGCCTAATAATAACTACAATGTCTTGGCATGCAATGCAATATAGTCAATAATTCAAGGGAAAAAAGGGTTCATTTTCCTGCAAGAATTTAATTGAAATAGGAAGCAAAATGCCAAATAATATTTACCCTACCCCTATACGCTGAAGTAGATCGAATAGTAACATCCATGGTAGAAATTGACGTAGGAACAGAAAAAGGGCAATGATGATGAGCGGCAAAACCAGTTGTAATTAAGTAATTAGTAATTACTTAATTAAGATAGATTTGAAGATGCATATGAGTGGACAGGATGGTAATGCAACCCTGCAAGCCCGACTGCACAAAGCACAGGAGCACACACAACCAAAAGAAGAATGATGGCTTGCATGGAAAAATGATATGGCCTCCTCCATTATTTGATACCTCTCCAATCCAAAGATTACAAATTTTCAACAAGCCATTAATTAATTTAGACATTTTGTTTAAACCCAAGATCGATCCAAAAACTTTTTGTGTAACATAATTACCCAATCCCTTGAATGTAGAGAGAGAGAGAGAGAGAGAGAGAGAGAGATGAGGTGTCAAATCCCAAGATTCCCCAAGTTCCACCACCCCATGGGGCCCCCTGTCCCATGCATCGACCTAAGGCAGTGAGAGAAGGCCTCTAGGCGTCTATATAAACCAATCCCAATTGATCATTTTTTTTCATTGCAACCATTGACTTCTGTTCTTTTCGTTTCTTACTCTTAAGTTTGCCTATCTTTGATCAGACTTCTTGTTTTTTACTTCAATTTCTTCCTCACCTTTTCAATTCCATGGCCACTGCTCAGGTATTAACTCATCTTTTAGTTCTAGAGTTTACATAGATTTGTGCTTATGATCAATTCAAGCTCTCTTGCAAATGTAATAACTAATTGAGATTTTGATCCTTTAATTAAGTGTTAATTAAAGTTTGAGAGTACTATAAATGTATATAATCTTGCAGGTTGTATCAGCAAAGACAGCCCTCCCTGTGGAGGACACAACTCATGAGGAACCAATTAAGGCACAAGAAGTAGTGACAGAAGTAGCAGCAGCTGAGGCAGAGGCTGTTGCAGAAGAGCCAAAAAAGGAGGCAGAGACTGTTGTTGCTTCTGGTGAAGTTCCTAAGGCTGAGGCTGCAGAAGCTGATGAAACCACCCCAGTTGAGGTTGAGACAAAGGAGGTGAAGGTGGTGGAGGAGGCCAAGGAAGATGTCGTGGCCAAAGAAGAGGCAGAAGAACCAACAGTAGAGAAGACTGCTGAGCCAGAACTTGTAGAGGAGACTAAGGAGAAATTGAATATTGACGACTCTGTTGAGGCTCCTTCTGCAGAACCAATTGCGCCAGAGCCGGTATCGGAACCAGCGGCTGAAGATCCTAAAGAAGAGGTAGTGGTTAAGGAAGAAGAGAAGCCTGAAGCTGTTGAGGAAGAGAAGCCAGCTGCTGATGCTGCCGAGGAGAAAGTTGTCAAGGAAGAGCCAGTGGAGAAGGCTGAGTAAATTTAAGTTGTATTAATTAGCGGGTATGTGGGGGTTGCTTGCATGTGAAGTGATCGATGTCTTTAGAATTTAGTGGTCCAAGAACTTAAATAAGGAGTAATTAGGGGAAAACGAGGTGTATGTAACGAGAAATTATTGATTGGTACGGATACACCATGTCAGCGATGTATTTTCCACCCAGATCATGTAACCATGCTAGCTTGCCATATATATGGTAGACATGCATGTTAGATCTTAGATTTTCATATATGCATTGGGGTTTGGTTGAGTTTCCTAGTTAAAAGCTAAGAACCTGATGAATTTTATTGTGGTGCATGCATGTATGTATGTATGTTTGATAGAAGATCATCATGGGGATGAATGTGTTGCATTTGAGTAATAAGATCTTTACTTGGTTGATGATAATTGTGTCACGTCCAATTTCTACTCCAACAATTTTTTTCTATATTCTTTCTAATATTTTTCCTTATCTCCTTTTCCTTTCCAGCAAATTTAAAGGTGCATCATGTAAACATTAGTTATTAAAAATATATAACTTCTGATAGCCCATGAAGTATCCTCCAAAAAAAAAAAAGAAAACCATATCCATCATTCATGTGAACTTCGTTTAAGTCTTAAATCAGTCTCATTTTGTATCGAGGAAAAAAAATTAGTCTCACTGCGCATACAAGTTCATCTCTCAAAAACCTTAAAATAATAATTTTAGCACTTATCTTTTTAACTATATGCGCTCCAAATTGAATATTTTATAATATTTTCGTACTCACATAAGGACCGCAAGATGTTAAAAAACAAGTGTTCAAATTACTGGCCTATAATTATGCCCAAAACCAAAAAGACTAATGTGACATGTAGTTCAAATGTGAAAGCGATCATGCAAAGCATATGGAATGGAGTAGTCAGTGTAAATAATACATACGACACATTTCATCTACCATTATACACACACATCAAGTTCAACGGTTCAATTTCAATATCATTATTAACTATAGAAAAGCTTCTAATATAGATTATAAAGCCAGATGGCCCAGAAAAGGAAAAGCAATCTAACAACGTGAAGGACTCTCCCAACTTTTTTTCTTGGGCATGGCCTTCACAACATTTGTCTTTTATATAAAATTCTTGGACATTATTGATCTAATCTAAAAATAGACTTCCACCAAGACCAAGCCCCAGTGGACAGATTTTATTTTTATTTTTAATTTTTCCATATTTTTGTTGTCCGCTTGTAGCTTCGTCTTCCAACAGCTCTAAGCCACTAACGGTTGGCTCAGGTGCTTTTCCAAAGCATCCATGGCTTCACTGCTCATGAAACCTACAGTAACCAAAAGAAGAGATGAGGTGTATGTTGCAGCAGTGCCTCTAAGAGCCACAAAAGGGCCTGCCCAGCTTCTTGCCTCTTCTGCTTACTCTCTCAATCTCTGGGATTTGCAGCATTTCATGGTTATTGTTAAACCCTCCTCACCTCCACCTCATTCTCAGGTTCTTCTTGTCCCTCCAATTCTCTAGATAAGGTAGCTAGCCAGTTCAATAATTCTTTTGGATTTTCTTGCCCAATTTTCCTTGGTTGGCTTTAATTTACTATATTTATTTGTGTTTTGCTTTGTTGGTGACTGGGATTGGATTGGATTATGAAGTAGAATTGGATTGCATTGGATTACATTGGATTGGAAATGATAACACTAATCCAATGATATGTTTGATACTACACATGATTATGGGGTTAGATTAATTGAAATGTTCTGTTACATGGCTTAGTAGGATTAGTCATACTCCAATCAAACTTAATCCCAACATTTTGGTAGGATTCATAATCCTACTATATTTGGCTTTAGTAGGATTAGATATAATCCAATCCGTGTTGTTTTTAGGCAACCAAACATTTGACTAGGATTGCGAATCCTATCCAACTACATAATTCAACTCATCAAACGGGGCCTAAGGCTTTTCTATTGGGAGCATTTTTACTCACCATTTTAACCCAAGGTGTACCCTCACCACCCTTCTCAACATTTGACACATGTCCATGAGCATAATCATGGTTCCATAAATACAAAGTTAATTATTGTTAGGCCCATGGACACGATGTGAAGTGTTTTAAAAAAAAAAAATTTCCAATCATGATCACTGTTTTCTTGCAAATTGAACAATTATATCAGATATATGTTTCCTTCAATTTGCCATATGTGCCATTCTGTTTCCTTCAATACGAAAATTTGAACTCCAATTCCATTGAGTCTCTTTTTGCAGCCCTTGGTTTTTGATTTTCAACCAAAAGATCCTGAAAACATATTTGCAGCCCTTGCAGTTCTATCTGGAAAAGCAATACCAGGTGACCCTACAAATTTTTGAATAATACAGTTGTTATTTTGTTTCTTGGTGTTCATATGGTATTTGTTCTTTCTGAATGTTAGGAATTGTTCTTATGAGGAAGTTGTCAAAACTCCCCAGAAGCAAATGCTGGTTTGTTGGGTCTCCCAAAGCAGGTGCCATAGATATGGCACTTGAATTCAACAAAGTCTGGGACACTAATTTGAGGGTTGGCCATCACGATTGTCGAGATTATACCAATGGTAACAATTTATCTGCCTACTGAAACATATAGTTTCTTTTGCAAAATCAGCTACAGAGCCACACTACAATTCGTTAATCAATAAATGTTTGCTCTGTTTCAGCATGTTTGATAATATTTGTTTGTTTTTGAAGGCTTGGTGAAGTACCTCACAGGTGAAGGGTACATCCTGGAGCGTTTGAGAAGTAGTGTGCGAGATTAGCTCCTCAGTGTAGGTCACACAACGCAAGCGTCCACCCTCGATTTTGAATGAGATAGGACCTAAGCAAGCATGCTAGCCAATTTGACCAAAAGCAATGTTCTCTGGTCTGCGTGTATAATTTGAACAGTGGACGAACAGTGGGTCAACAATCCTTTTCCTCATTACTGTATCAAACTACCAATTCCAAAGGTTTGCTATTTGGGATCCCTCTGTAATCTCATGACACTTGGAGTGGTATGATAAATGTGTAAGGCCTGTAGACGTATGTAACTTCTTGAAAGAGACGTATGGGCCCAATGATCATAATAAAAGACAAAGAAAGAAAATGCAAAGTGAACTTTTTCACCAAGGAAAAAAAATGCAAAAGTAATTCAAAGATGGTACAATTATTACTGTATGGCTGATGTTGATTTCATTTCATTAGAAAGGCTGTTTGATAAGTTTTGATTGATCAAAGATGGTTTTCATTTTTGAAGAATTTTAAGAAATCAACTTGAGGAAACATTTCAATTTCCTGAATCAAATCGATATGCAAACACTGCAACAATAACAAAGATGATCTATTTCAATCAGCAAACAAGGGTATGAATTTGGTTAAGTCTGCCCAGATGAACAACAGTTTGAAACCATTTTGGCATCCCCTGAAACACAAGATCTTGAAAATTTCCACCATTTGGGTCATAGAGAACTAGAGCTCTGCTTTTGTACTCCAACAAGATCTGGCCACTCCCCAAAACACACAAAACCCTCACATATCTTCCTCTGATAGCAATCTTTGAAATCTTCCATGATCTATCGACATCTTGTTTCAATGCCTTTGGCACATGGCTTGCTATGCTCAGCTCTTTGACCCAAGCTTCCTTCACACCGTACTCCTTCATAACCCACATCTCCAATTTCCCAAAGCTGCAATAGAAAACTGCAGCAAGGCAGCCTCTTACAACCAGCAGATGATAATCCCACCTGTTTAAGCCATCAGCCTCAGGTTTTGGGACCTCCCTGAATTGCTCATCTCCCAAGTCAAAAGAGATGAGCTTTCGTCCCGGGTGGTACCTTCTTCTCCAAGTAACCCAGTGAAGCCTTCCATTGACCAAGACCTGTGCAGGCCAGTGATGAAGGTAGTGAGATGTTTTGCCTATACTTCTCCAATTGGAGCTTCCCAGAGTGAGAACTTGAACTTCTGATTGTGGACGATAGACTCGAAATCGATGCCATGAGCCTCTATGTGCATTCCTATAATAAACTATCTTAACCACCTTATATTCCTTAGTAATTGGATGGAACCCAAATCCATAAATCACTTCTTGATTAGGAAATTGAATTGACTTGGGCAGCTCTCTATAATCCCTAGTGAATGGATTGTATATGTAAAGTGCATCATTGTATAAAGAATCAGACAAGCATAGCAAACCATTACATGAGCCTACCACGTCAAACTCAGGCATTAAACCACAGAAAGGTGTGTGGATTTTTTTCACTATTTGTGCCTCTTTGCCACAATGATCAAAAGGGTAGGCTACAAAACAAAGATGGTTTCTGATGGGATAATCACAGTGGAAGATTAGGCATAGATAACTGTTCTCATCAGCTGTGTTGGAGTTATGAAAATGATCAAGAGATTCAAGATTATGTTGGTCTTGGGCTAAATTGCGCCACGCTCGGCATACATACCTGAATTGCACAAGAGATGAAAAAGGCAGCCTTGAAATTATGTCGGCGACGATTTCATAAGGTAAATTCTCCATGCCAAGTACTGGTTGATCTTCTCTTTGGTTGCTCCTCCTCCTCCTCTTGCTCATCTGCAGTTCAGAATCTGAGTCCATGGTTTAAGATGAGCTGTATTCTAAGGGAAGAGATAGGGTCATATAAGAGTAAAGATAGTAGAAGATTGTTATACTTTGTTTTTAGATGTATTTGATGGGATGGATTAAGTATTCAAAGAGACGGCAACTACAAGGAAATAGTGGTATATAAGATCCAAAATTGAATAATGCACTTGGAGAAAAGTTGGGTTTATCTTTGGGAAGAAAAAGTGATGGTCCTGGCAATCCCCACCATTCAATTTCAAATGCAAAGTCATGATTTACTGCAAAAAAAAAAGCAAATTTATTGAATATAGAGCCATGCCAATGGATCCATGGCCCTACTGATGCTGACTCAGGAACAAGAAAGTCTTCTTTGACAACCAAACAGAGCCTCTGTACCACTACTTTGGCTATTGGTGTAGTAGAATTAAAAACAAGCAAATACCTTTCCTCTCTCTCTCTCTCTCTCTCAGTTATAAAGTTAACAATGTATCTGGCAGAAGTTGGTTTCATCTGGTGGAGTTTTGGCCTTTAGGCCTACTTTATTAAAGAGTATTTAGGGTGCTCACAAATTCAACTCACTACATCAAGTCGCTCTCTATTAACAAACAAGAAAGAAAAAAAGAGAAGAAAAGAAAAGGAACCATACTTAATTTGTGGTCCACTTCCACAACTTTTAATAAAGAGAGGCCCAATACATCAGCCCTCCAACCTCAACAGCCCAGAAAACAAAGAAACGAACCCAAAAAGTAACAGGGCAGACCAATCAAGCAATCTTAAGATTTTTCCAACCAATAAACCTAAAAAAATCCTTCCATCCCAACTGTTTGGCGAAACATGTTTCTCATTTACCTAGAAAATACCAATGCATGGTTAAAAGGAGGATCCTTGGTTAAGCTCTTTTGTTTTACTTGATGTCCAACCAGCTTAAAATTGAACCAACTCCATAACCAGCTTACAATATACGTATTTATATTCACTTGTATGTGAAGATGCGGCTGGTGAGCATAAATTATTTCATCACTAATCATTGAAATTTTGAAAGGCTACAATACAACCACTCCAATTCCTTGGTGGGGTGGGTGCAACAGCTCCAGCTACGACATTGCCACCGCATATTGGGTTAATTCATTCATTTTTATCAACTGAAAATTAAGGAAAAACAGAGAACATGCTTCCCCTCTGTCCTCCAAAGCTTCTTGGATCAAATCTTTCTGGAAAAATCAATGGAAATGCTTGAAATTATAACGACTGTAAAGTCTACCGTATGCGATGTCTCACAATATTTAGGGGTTCAAATCAAATCCACTGGACAAAACAAAATGTATTGAAATTAATACCTGATATCAGAATGCTGTTTATGTTTTTCATGTTTACAGAAAAAATTCTACAGAGAACAACAAATATGAATACAATCTCTAGAATACATGTTGACACCTACAAAAACTCCAAAAGCAAAAAAGAAAAATCAACAACAATTAACAAACCTACAATCAATCCTACACCAATTTGTAACAAAACCTATAACCCAAATGTATCTTATCTTCTAGCTAAAGAAAAAAAAAAAAAAAAAAAAGAATTCATCCTCCTCAAATCAAGCACCACAATTAGCCAAAATGCTGTGACAAAATAATTGTGCGCAACCGATGAATTTGATGAGAACTGTGCAGCAAGCAATGATATCTTCCACAATGTACCCACTAGCAGCCATAAACCCTTCTTCATATTAGCTAAAAATCCAACATAGAAAGGCTCTTCTAAAGCTGCAATCTTTGGAGGCTCGCCTCCAAGAACCAACCAAACAATGAACCGAATGGGAACCAGAAATTGAAAACTCTCAGAAAAGGCCGAACAATACCGAAAAGCCGAGGACGATCAGCCAAACTATGTGAACCAAAAGCAGCGCTTGGGCAGAATGGGGGGCAGAGCCCCCACTACCCACCTCACAAAACCCTAATTTCGCCACCTTGACCCCAGCGCATTGGGCATCTTGGCAGCCACACCAGTATGTCACGCCGTCGACGCCGCAGACCGGGTCGGGTCGGAAGCAATTGACGGGGCATAAAGATGGTGACCGGATTGACCCGGCACAGGCGTCGGCGGGTTCGGACTCGGAGGGCAATCGGATGATGGTGGATTCGGTTTGGAGTTCAGATCGGACGGTGGGAAAGGAGCAGAGGATGATGAAGAACGCGAAGAGGATTAGGGTAAAGAAGGAAATTAGGGATTTGGGGAATTGGGTATCCATGATCGAATGAAAGATGAGATCTTTGAGAAAAGAAAAAGCAGCCCAAGTAGCCAACCCTCTCCTGAAGCTCTGAACCTTCCCCCAAATTCAAGAAAGCCTAGAGCTTTTTCCCCAAATTCGAAGTTGCGCTTTGGGGGTTTTCTCAAATTTGAGTTCACGACTGGAATCGAATATGAAATTGCTTTGATTCGGGGAGAGTATAATTGGAGAAAAAATAGGGCTAAATTGAGGAAGCCCTAATTTTGAGGTTGAAGAGGAAAGAAGGGGAAGGAAATTAGACACCTGGTTGACGCGTGCTTTTCATTCTCTAGAAGGATGTGGAAGCGTCAAACGGTAGTTTGGATTTTGGACAGTGAACGTTGGAATAGGGGGGCCAAGCTGCCAGCCTTTTGCCTCCTTCTTGTTCATCTACTTTGGTGTTTGTGATCTTTTTTGTCTATTTTTTAAAATATTTTTAAATAGTTAAAAACAAGTTAATTTAAATTCTTTTTTGTTGAAAACAAGTTTATTTAATTTTATTTAAACTTTGTTTTCATGGTTGCTTGCTGCCGACCTTGGACTTTACAGAATACTATTCAATATTTTTGTTTTTCTATGATATTTTCATACCTTTTTAAATGCGGATTTGCTTCTACTCTTCCTAATCTATATTGGATTTTCTAAGTTGTTTCAGATTTTATTTCCATTTTTTTTGTTGAGTCTTTTCTTACCTTTTTCAACGAATTTACTTCTACTTTTATCCTCTTCCTAATTAATATTGGATTTCCAAAGTTGTTTTAGATTCTATTTTGCAAGTTTGTTATTTTCTATGAGAATAATGTTAAGAGAGACTAGGTTTAGGTTAAGGAGACCACCATATAGTGTGTGTGTGTATATATATATATATATTTAAATTTATACTTTTTTAAATTTTCGTGATTTATTGTTTTAATTCCTACAAAATAGCATTTTTAATAAAGCTTTTTTTAAAAATAAAAAAAATCTTGAAAATGACCATGTGTACCCTATTCATCTTTCATACAGTACATGTTGATTAAACTGGTGAGCAAAAATATGTTCTATATTATTTTGTGAGAGTCCGGTTTTGGACACCCTCTTAGTTTTGATGTAGCTTCACCTTCCCCAAAAATTATGTCATGCTTAACCATTAATTATTTCTTACTCAATCCGGCGATTTAGCTAGTGAAATGAAAAAGTATTTCCCTTCAATAAATAACATTTTAATTAGAAAAGTAGACTAGTTGTCTGTATATTATTATTTTTTTTTAAAAAGCAGGCTTGTTATCAAACATGGTGTAATGTAAAGTGCTAAAAAAAGAAAGAAATTAATTACTTTTTTTACCCAAAAATAAATAAATATATCAAATAGCTAATTATCTTTCTTTTTTTCCTTTGCAATTACTCCTTGTTTTAAGAGTCCCATTTTGGTTATGACCCCAAACCCATACCACACACAAGAAGGAAACATGAAAAGAAAAAAAAAAAAAAAAAAAAAAGGAAAAAAATTATTGTTCCCACTGTAATAAGGAAAGTAAAATAATTTGCCTGGTCAAAGGCAATTTCCTACTTGGTTTTGTATTAGAAACAGAAACAAATCACCACCAAATTGGTGTATATATAGAAGCATATCAAATTAAAACCATGAACACAATTTTATTTGTGAAGCAGGGCTTTGTCTAATTAAATTAATTCAAGAAAGCATTATGAAGCTGGGCAGGCCAATCATCCCTTTTTACAATAATAAAAATAATAATAAATCTCCCCTTCTTCTTCTTGGCAATGGCAGCAATGGGCTTCATCACTTTAGCCCTGCTGAGATTGAGGTGTCTGAAATTCTGCTTGAGATGGCTACACTCATCTATGAATGTTCCAATCAGAATATGAAGCATGGGAAGAGTCAAGACCAAGCCGAACCGTCGATGGTTCATTATCATGGCCGCCGTCACCATCGGACGGCTGATGTTGATGTAATCAATACTAATCGAGTTGTTTTTGATATCATTCCTGACCTCAACGTGCCTCTTCCTCTAGAGGAGGAATAATCGGCTGCGGTGGAACAAGGGAAGACTCTAAATTAGATTTTTGTTGTTGAAATTAGAGTAGATTGGTGGGCTAATAATGTCCTTTTATGTTGTTGTTTCGATTATGTGTTCATGAATTAATAGAGTAAATGTTGTTTCATATCTACTATCTCCCATTTTTAATCTTCCTCAGATATATATATATATATATATATATGATTTTTGAAATAAGAACGATTGATTGCATTTATAATTTAGACATATGTGATTTTGAACGTTCAACATAAGTATACAATTAAGAGAGGCAAAAAATCGGTGCATGCATCAATTACTAAAAATTTGGCTAGCAAGAAAAGGGATTGTAACAACAAATTTGTAATATTTGACCCTAGTTTCGAGAGTACGTCTATAGATAGTTTTATGGTTTGAATTGTTTAATGATCCTTTCCTATTAGGGCCATAAAACTGCCTTTTAATGTTGTCCAAAAAGATGGTGATTTGTGAAGTATCGTGTTATAATATGGGTGGACAATAAGATCGACATATGTCATGAATTTAAGGGATATAAATAATGAAAATACATACATATGTTATACCATAAGTAGCGTGACAACATCACATAATGGTGTAATTGACACACATAAAAACTACTCATCCCGAACATACTCATTTGGACCTTCTCACGTTCCTTATCATCCTTGTCCCTCCAAACTTTTTATCCCTATCTTGTTTCCGAAACTTTCATGAAGTCCTCTCTTGTTGGCTCTTCATTTGGTGATTGAACAACATTGACTTGAAGACTAATAAAAAAAACACACCAAGAGCTGTTGAAAGGGACATGTTCTAAATACTTTA